TAATTTGTTTCTATCCAGATTCATTAAAACTTTTCGCCTGCCGGCTGCAATTTTTTGACCATGCTCACTATAACTGTTCAAAAAAAAACATCAAATGCGTTATTTTACAAATTCTCTCTTTTTTCCAGTGATAGGTATGTTTATTAAGGGGAGCTCATTTTTTTGAAGAGCATATTCTCACACTCCTTGGGTCACAAGACATGGTGTAGCAATTATACCAACCTTTCAAACCAAGATATTATCAACCTATGTACTTTCATCATATCACCCTGAATCTTTGCACAGCCACTCTACCACCCTGGGTCTAGATCTTGTTAAAGCATGTGCCCCTTATAGATCTAGCCTTTATATCACAGTATCAAATCTGTCAGCATGACTTTTATTTTTTTACAATGTCTGCTAGGATAAAAGTGTTTAACCACCAAGCAAAGTCTGTGACTGATACAATTCATTGTGTAAAGGGAGATAGGAAGACCTATGTCACATACAGTGCTCTATAAAAAAAGGTTTAGCTCCTACTGACTAAATCATGGTATTAAATATATATCTCTCATCTTGACAGAGAAAACAGTTCTACTTATTGAGAATTATATGTTTTTCATCATCATATAAAAATGATTTAAAACTTTGCTGCTAAGTGATATAACACAGTTACATAGTTGGATCAATTCTGATGACAGAGAAGTCAGAATACAATAGCTTAGCGGGGAGGATTCCCCCATCCACATTGAGTATGTGGATGGAGAAATAAAGTCATTTTTGCTTTTCATTTAACCTGCTGGTTGAACAAGAAAAAATGATTAATCTATGGGCTGCCTAAGAAACATATCTAAAAGTTTTTTTTTAAAATGTATCTACACTTCCCACTGACACCACCAACTGTGGAAGAGCGAGCCACATACTTACCACTCTATTAGTAACCCCTTACACAGTTCAACCGCTTCTCGTCCAGCTTCATTGTGTAGCTGCATGTCCTTTTCAGAGACCATAGACTAAATAGTTTCTTCCCAATGCTAGAGTCACCATTTAAAGATTTGTATATTGTGGTCATATCCCTCTTCAGTATCTCTTCTCCAGGGAAATAAGTTTAATGTTTGTAGTCATTCCTCAAACCTGAAGTCCTCCTGCCCCCTTATTAGCTTTGATGTTCTTCTCTGGACTCTGCCCAGTTCAAGCACATTCTTCTAAAGACTAGTGACCAGAACAAAACCACATAATCAAGACATACTCAAGATATGGCTGAGTCAGTGTTTTGTAAAGAGGTACAATTATATTATCTCTTGTGTAAATACCATTTTAATGCATGCTGATAGACTGCTAGCCTTTGGGGTTCTTCCCCTAGCAGGGTAGCTTGTATTCATATTTTTAGCTCCCAAGTGCCTTACTTTACGTTTTTCTACATTAAACCTCATCTGCCGTTTAGCTGCCAGTCCCTTTTCCTGTACAGCTGCTATATGCTTTTATGCCATTTTTGTCCTGCTTTGCTTTATATCATCATCAGCAAACACTGAAACTGAACAATTTGTTCCAACCTCTATATTGTCTATAAGCATGTTAAAAAGAATTGGTCCCAGAACAGAACCCAGGAGAGCCCTGCTAAAAACTAGACTGTTCACAAAATATGCCTTTATACAAAACCATCCAAGCCAAAAAAACTTGCTTGTATATTAGGTGTTTATGGAGTACTGCATCACATGCCTTAGTGAGATCTAGATACACTATGTCCACAGGTTTTCTTCTATTCAAAATTACACCTCACCTCCTCATAAAATGTTAAATAGTTTTAATGCCTTTTTATTTGCATAAACTGAGGAGAAGAGTGTATTTAATTCTCTCTGTTCCTTGTGAACAACTCCCGCTGATCATCTTTTATGGAGCCAATATGGTTCAACCTAGCCTTTCTACTATTTAAAAAAATTGGGGGGGATTTTTTTATTCTCCTGAGCATCGTGTCTCTCGGAATCTATACTAGCTGCCCTAATCATGCTCTTAACCACTTCATCAATTGACACTTTCACCCCCTTCCTGCCCAATTTTCAGCTTTCACCGCTGTCACATTTTAAATGACAATAGCGCAGTCATGAAAAAACTGTATCCAAATGATTTTTTTTCTTTTCTTTTTAGACAGAGCTTTCTTTTGGTGGTATTTACTAGCACTGGAATTTTTATTTTTTGCTAAACAAACAAAAAAGACCACAAATGTTGATTACATGTTATTACATTTGCAAATAAGTAATTTTTCTTCTTCACTGATGTGCATTGATGAGGCTGCACTGATGTGCATTGATGAGGCTGCACTGATGGGAACTGATGAGGCTACATTGATGGGCACTGGTGAGGATGCACTGATGAGGCTGCAGTGATGTGCACTAATGGGCACAGATAAACTCCACTGAGGTGGCACTGATGAGGAGGCACTGATGAGGCTGCACTGTTGACCACTGATAGGCAGCCCTGATAAGCTGCACTAATGGGCACTGATGGAGCTGCACTGTTAATCAGGGCTCTGATGATCAGTGCCCCTATTATCAGTGTAAATGTGCCCTGTCAGCCTTGCTGGTTAACGGCTCTTTTTTCCTCACACAGTGACAGTGCGTGATGAAAGGAATGCCAATAACCGGCAAGTATGTTTTACATGGGATCTGCTGTGATTGAACAGAGCTGATCACATGGTAAAGGACCACTGTGATTGGACTTAGCTGATCACAGATTGAGGTAAGAGGCCAATCACAGTGGCCCTTTACCATGTGATCAGCTGTGTCCAAAAGATAGGCACATTCTGGGAGGACGCCCATGGATGCTCTCCCATAACAAGAGAGCAGCACTGTAACCGGTTACAGTTCTTATTACCACAGTATACTGTCTCCCCTACAATAGAGAAAATATCTGTGCTGTCCTACATGAATCGATCAGTGATTTACTGTATAAAACAAGGTGTAACAGTCCAAAGAAAATATTAAAACTAAAAAGAAAAGAAAAAAAAACAGTTTTTTTTTTCATTTATTTTTTAGTTCTAATATCTTCTTTGGACTGTTACACCTTTCAATATATATAAATCAGTGATTGATTCATGTAAGACAGTGTTGCTATTTTCTCTATTATTTGGGTGAGATTGTATTGTGGAAGCAGTGTAAATATAGGAAAATTAAAAAACTTTGGTTTATAGAATCTGTGGCGCAGAGGTATATTTGTTGAACATTGGGTGGTGGTGCAAAATTATTTTTGGAAGGATATTTAAATTTCTTATTGCATTCTATATAGTTTGGCAATGGTGACACTTAAGCCTTACAGGTATTAAGGGAATATATTTTCCCATTAATAATATTTTTTTACTTTAGTATTTAGCTACCTTGATTTAACTCTTGTTAAATTATTTTTGATTGATGATGATAACAGTGCCCTGCCTCCCTGTCATGGGAGATGGTTTTCCTCCTTCTCCTTAATGTTAGAGGGCCCATAGCATACACAATTCTTTAACACTGGTTGTAGAAAACTCACATAAAAATGGATCCCCTCATCTTCTAATTGGAATGACTACACATCGCTGATTTCCAGGAAAATTCCCTGGGTTCGGGAAACTGTTTCTATTAAAAGTTGTCCTTTTTTAATAAAGGGAGTCCCCAGCCTGGTAGCTGTCAATGCCAGCAGTATTATCACTAGAAGGAAAGAGTCATTGCTGGAGAGGAGGAGGAGAAAGCAGGTATTGGGTGTGGGCTGTGCCCTTTCATTCCCCCTATCCTACACCAAGACTTCATTAGGTCATCAGGGAGCCCTGGAAACTGGTGTACTTCACACTGCAGCTGCTACCCCCACCTCAGAAAACCAGCTTTATAGTCACTTAATTACAAAAATTGCCCACGGTACTGTAAAGAAGCTGCACCTTTAGGCAACAACAAATTTTTAAAAAAGTTCTAAAAAAAATGATGATTTTTATTCACATACAGCGTAGAAATTAAAAAAACATAGTAAAAAGCCATAAGCCGCTGGCTATCCCCACTTCAGTTGATCCTGAATACAGCTGCCAGACTCATTCACCTTTCCAACCGCTCCATCTCCGCCACCCCCCTCTGCCAATCCCTCTACTGGCTTCCGATTGTGCAATGGATCACATTCAAAATCCTAACACTGACGTACAAAGCTGTCCACCATACTGCCCCGTACTACATCCCTGACCTAATATCCAAGTACCGCCCAGCACGCACACTCCGCTCCTCACAAGACCTCCTTCTCTCTAGTTCCCTGGTCTCCTCCTCCCATGCCCGCCTCCAGGACTTCTCCAGGGTGTCACCCATCCTCTGGAACTCCCTGCCCCAACCCATCAGATTATCACCTACTCTCCTCTCCTTTATGCGCACCCTGAAAACCCATCTCTTCAGTGAAGCCTACCCCACCCCCTGCTAACCTGCCGACCTCCCCCACTCTTCCTACCACTCCATCCCCCACAGCTATCTCCTCCTGTACCACTATCCCCTCCCTCCTAGATTGTAAGCTCGAAAGAGCAGGGCCCTCAATCCCCTCATGTTTTGCATTGTATTGGTATCGTTCTGTCACATGTTCTGTCCCCCTTTGTAATGTACAGCGCTGAGCGAACCATTGGCGCTTTATAAATACTGTATAATAATAATAATAGTAAGCCACATCAAAACATGATGAATAGCTGCATGATAGTGTAGTGTATACACACATCAGGCTAGACATATGATCTCCTGACACTCGATGCAATTCGTGAAGCAACATGCACTTCCTCAGGAGACAGTGATGTTCCATAGGATATCAAACAAAATACTGTATAAATCAGAATCAAACATTTTTTGGCAAAAAATGTTGGAATGCAATGGAGAAGTGGCATGGGACACACCCTGTCTGAGAGCTGTAGAGAGGGCAGCAAGCCTCAGAACAGGGCCATACAAATGAAAAAGTAGGCCAAATTGTCAAACATAATAGACAGCTAGAGAAGACATGAACTTCTATAGTCAGACCCAGGGGTGGACTGACAACTCATGGTGCCCCTGGGCAATAGGGGATCATGGGGCCCCTGTGTCCTTGCCCAAACTCAGAAAAGCCTATGAAAAAGGTACCAGGGGCATCTCATGGGGCCCCCTACTGACCCCAGGCCCTCGGGCAGTGCCGGAGTTTCCAAATGGTCAGTCCGCCCCTGGTCAGACCCCAGAAGTCTACAGTGTTCACAGCCATTGCTCAGTACAAATCCCAACCAATTCAAATGGGCTCTAGGCTCTTCCTTACCAAAAAAGATGCATCTCCTAGAATCCCTCTTTCCTGTTATTATATCACATCTCTACGAGTCTCACTTATTGTGAAGTTTGATTATTAAATACCTGCTATAGGATAGTGAAAACTGAAAATTCCTCTTACTGCTAAAGTGGAGAATACAGATAGAGAGTAACTTTTATAAAATATGGAAAAGCCTTTAATCTTACATAGTGATGAACCAAATAATCAAATCACATGGTAACACAGTTTTAATAGAACGTCATCTTTAGTCATTATTAGCAATAGCACCTTCAAGTAGTTAACTTCATTAAGTCTAAAGACATTTTTCTGTCCATATCTATGTACCACATTTATGCACTTTTTTTGGTGTAGGTTAGAACATTTTAGAAACCTGTATGAATGGAAAAACAAACATTGAAACATTCTTCTGAAAATGTTAATTGTCTGGCTGTCATTGGCTTTAATCACTGGCTCAGGGAAACAAGTATGCAGCAAGGAAAGCCTAAACATCTGACCTATGTTCTTTTTACAGCTCAGTGAATCAGAAAGGATTAAAGCCAGAGATAGCCAAGCAACTAAGATATTCAGAAGGTCAGCAAAGGCAGCCCACCTATTTCTCATCCCAAGTTTCCTGTAAGGTAAGAAGCTGATTAGCTGCTAGAGGTAACTGACTGTTTTTCATTCTACCACCTTCATACATCAAACTCACTCTGATCTGCTGTGTCTGCACTGACAAATCTGTTCATACAAACTCTTATTATGCAAAACACGGAGCAGAAAAAACTGCTGCTACCTACTGTATAATGTAATAAAGATAAACTTTCCAGCGGTACTTACGAGTTAAGGATCTAGAAAAGCAGAAATATAGCGTTTGCATGAATCAGCATGTTCATTTATTTGTACCTTTAGAGTTCTACTAGAGTACTGAAAACTAGATACAACTGGATACAAATTGCTTGAGTGTATTTCAATTTGTAAGCACATGATGATTTGCACCAATCATGTTAATATAAAATTCATGTTGTGATTTTAATTTTAATGTTAACTTTTCTAACCCTTAAACACTGATATATACTACTTTGAAAGAAACAATTTTAAGTCTTTATAAAACAAAAAAAAATTATAATGATCGGTTACTACGACCAAGGGCGGACTGACTATTTGGAAACTCGGGCACTGCCCGAGGGCCCGGGGTCTGTAGGGGGCCCCATGAGATGCCCCTGGTACCTTTTTCATAGGTTTTTTTTAGTTTGGGCAAGGACACAGGGGCCCCATGATCCCCTATTGCCCGGGGGCCCCATGAGTTGTCAGTCCACCCCTGACTACGACTTGACTATGGCTCAAGATGGAATGTTTCTCTACAATGTTTCTCTAGACTGATACTCACAAACAGCGAATAAAATCAGGCATGCCAGTCCTCAGAGGGACTTAAAAGATAAGGAACCAGCGCGAGTCCCATCATGGGGGTAGACACTCAGTACAGCTCTGATGAAGAAGGGATGCCCTTTGAAACACATCAGCTGTACTGAGTGTCTACCCCCATGATGGGACTCACGCTGGTTCCTTATCTTTAAGTCCCTCTGAGGACTGACATGCCTGATTTTATTCGCTGTTTGCGAGTATCAGTCTATATTTAATTCATTTTGGTTACTGAGGTAATGCGCAGGGTTGGTGCGCTTCTCGTTTTTGTTTCACTTTGCACTATGAAAAAGGTACCAGGAGCATCTCATGGGGCCCCCTACTGACCCCGGGCCCTCGGGCAGTGCCCAAGTTTCCAAATGGTCAGTCTGCCCCTGATACACGGGCTGAACATTGGCTGGTTTCTGAACAGATCAATATTCTGTCCATATGTACAGAGCTTTACAAAGTAGAGAATGGTCATAAAACTATTTGACAGTGACCTAGGCTTGCCATAGATGGCTAAAAATTAGTGATTGATTATTCTTGAACAGGACTGTTGGGATATTTATGTTTGATCAGCATATGCAGCCAATCGGTTGCAGTGCTGATCAGTGTAGCCTGACAGTGAAGGAGTCACACTGTCCAAATGTAATATTGGAGCAGGGAGGATTCCTTCATCCACCTCCAATGTGTGTATGAGGGTATCTGTTCTCTTTTCTTTTCTCAGCCTGTTGATTGATCAAGAGAAAAATCAATGTACAGTGCAGCCAGCTTTAGAAAGCTGTTGTCCACATTCAACTCATTATCTCTTGTTTCAAACAGCATTATCTTCAAAGTTCAAAATAATGTGCTATAATTATCTTTTTGTGTTCTTTTATGGTGGTGGTTCTATATAGGTTCAGTATTTTGTATAATATCTGTTCTGTATTTGTTACAATGAATGTGGTACACCACATTACTTGGGGTGTAGCTGTATGATCCAGTAATGCTGTAGATCCATTTCATGTACGTGACATATTTAATGTATTGATATGGCTGCAAAATTTGTAGAATTCATTATTGCAAGGTTTTGATATTTTGTTTTCAGCCATGTAATCAGAATTAAGTTTCCGGCTAAATAATTTATGTCCAAATCTGAGTGGTTGCCTGAAGGCCAGCTTTGGGGGTTGTTGAAAGAATTGTTAGAGTGTTTCATCCTTTGTTATGATAGGTTGCACTTCTTTGATTATTTTTCTTATCCCATCTAATTCATGATTGTGTGTGGTAAATAGAGGTACATGTTTTTTTCTCTTTATGTGATTTCTCTTTTGGGGTTTCAAGGCAGGTTGTGTTGCTGCAACCTTTTTATGGAGGAATTCTACTAGTACCATGAGATGTTGATCGTATTCTGAGTCAGAGCACATGAAGTGGTATCTACTGTTGGAAGATTTCTTTCAGCATTTCATCCTTTGTTGTGATGGGTGCAGCTCTTTGATGATCTTTCATATTTCTTCTAGTGCTGGATTGTATGTGATTACTAGAGGTACACAGTTATATGTGCTTTTCACTTTGCATCATTTCTCTTTTGGGTTTTCAAGCCAAGTTTTGTTGCTGTGATCTTTCTTATAAAAGGACTCCTGCTAGCAATCTGAGATGTTTATTTCTGTCTTCTGGGTATGAGGTGGTATCCACTGGCTTGACTGTGTATGATGGCTTGTTGAGTAATGTGGGGGTGAAAGATGCAACTGTTGAGATAGCTGCATCTATTAGTGGATTTCCTGTATATTGAGGTGTGCAGTCTGTCATCCCTGATGGATACTGTGATGTCTAGAAAGCTTAATTATGAACTTGAATAGCCCATTTTTATTTTGATTATATATATAATGGCTTTTGTTGTATGCTGTTAAGGAATTTATCATCCATGTCTGCCATAAATAAGTTTGCTGATCTTGTGTGTAATGCTTTGCAGGCTCCTAGTGAAAAAATAATAAATGCACATTTTTTTTTATCTTCAAAAAGATATGCATTTATATATTTATTTTTAGAAAGGTGAACTTATCCTTTAATCCATGGGTGTCAAACTGGTGGCCCTCCAGCTGTTGCCAAACTACAAGTCCCATGAGGCATTGCGAGATTGACAGTTACAAGCATGACTCCCAAAGGCAGAGGCATGATGGGACTTGTAGTTTTGCAACAGGTGGAGGGCCGCCAGGTTGACATCCCTGCTTTAATCCCTTCTTTTTTCTCCCCAACTGCATATTAACCCCCTCATCTCCAATTCAGCTACTGACTCCTCTATCTGTGTATGATATTTGGTGTGCTACAGTTGTGTTCAAAATAATAGCAGTCAGACATCACCAACCTGATCAATCACTGTTTTTAGTAGAAATGATATTTCTACATGGCAAATAATTTACTAGCAGGTGTAGTAGAGTAATATAAATCCAACAGACCCAACAGTCATGACATGCATGCTGCTGATTCTGTGTAATTGAATCACTAATTGAAAGGGGCATGTTCAAAATAGCAGTGTGGAGTTCTATTAGTGAGGTCATTCATTCTTTGAAAACAGGTGGCAATTATTGCCCTTATTTAAGGAAGGAAGGCAGCAAATGTTGTCTATGCTGGTTACAGTGCATTTCTCTCTGAAATTCTGAGGAAAAATGGGTTGTTCCAGACATTGTTCAGAAGAACAGCGTACCTTGATTAAAAAGTTGATTGGAGAGGGGAAAACATATAAAGAAGTGCAGAAAATGATAGGCTGCTCAGCTAAAATGATGGCAAATGCTTTAAAACGGCAACCAAAACCTGAAAGACGTGGAAGAAAGCAAAAAGACTACCATTCGAATGGATAGAAGAATAGCCAAAATGGCAAGGACTCAGCCAACAATCAGCTCCAGGAAGATCAAAGAAGGTCTAAAGTTACCTGTGAGTACTGTTACAATTAGAAGACGCCTATGTGAAGCCAAGCTATCTGCAAGAAGCCCCCACAAAGTCCCACTGTTGAAAAAAAAGACGTGCTGAAGGGGTTACAATTTGCCAAAGAGCACATTGACTGGCCTAAAGAGAAATGGCGCAACATTTTGTGGACTGATGAAAGTAAGATTGTTCTTTTTGGGTCTAGTGGCCGGAGACAGTTTGTCAGGCGAACCCCAAACACTGAATTCAAGCCACAGTACACTGTGAAGACAGTGAAGCATGGTTGCACAAGCATTATGATATGGGGATGTTTCTCATACTACGGTGTTGGGCCTATTTATCGCATACCAGGGATCATGGATCAGTTTGAATACATCAGAATACTTGAAGAGGTCATGCTGCCTTATGCTGAAGAGGAAATGCCCTTGAAATGGATGTTCCAACAAGACAACGACCCCAAACACACCAGTAAATGTGCAACATCTTGGTTCCAGACCAATAAGATTGACGTTATGGAGTGGCCAGCCCAATCCCTGGATCTTAATCCAATAGAAAACTTGTAGGGTGACATAAAAAATGCGGTTTCTGAGGCAAAACCAAGAAATAGAGAAGAACTGTGGAATGTAGTCCAATCATCCTGGGCTGGAATACCTGTACACAGGTGCCAGAAGTTGGTTGACTCTATGCAACACAGATGTACAGCAGTTCTCAGAAACAGTGCTTATACAACTAAATATTAATTAAGTGATTCAAAGGAAAGCAAAAGCTTCAAACATTTTTCAGTTTATATAGTGAATGTTTGAGTTTGTAAAGAAGAAAACAAACACTGCTATTTTTTTCAACAGTCTAATATTCACTTTTCTTAAATTTTTTTTAGAGGAACACCACAAATTTGATATATTTTTTCTTCATGTTTTGATTTGGAATAGAATGTGTAGTGTTCCCAATGCATTTGTGTGTATGGAAATAAAAGCTATTAGAAGGATTTTGAGCTTTATTCACTTTTTTCAACACACTGCTATTATTTTGAACACAACTGATTATTGCTTCATTACCAAGTTCCATGTGTAAACTAAAGCAATACCAACATGTTTCTTATTTTTTGCCAAAAGTAAGGGAACAGGTTATTTGTTCAAAACTGTTGATATGTTTTACCTTTTAAAGTAAAAAAAAAAACATGGTTATAAAAAAAACCACCAAAGGAAAGCTCTATCTATCCACATAAATTATATAAATATCATATAAAAGTACAGTGTTGCATGAGCAAATAATTGTCAGTTAAACTATCACAGCACTAAAAACAGAAAAAAATGGCCTGGTAATGAAGGGGTGTATACAGGAAGGTGCACATGTGGCTACGCATGCCATTTTTCATTTTTACAGTCTTCTGCATTGCTGTACAATGTAAAGACATACAAGCACTATAACAGTACAAACATGTGAAACATTAGACAAGAGAGCTCAGCAAGAGCTTTTACATCAAATTACAAAACAATAAGATTACACGCATCACAAAAATCAAACATATAAGTGCAAAACTAAAGGAGTGCTTATTTTCCTGCTTTTCTATCATCAAGAGCAATGATGTTAAGCAGCAGCACAAATCTCCTTCTCCTTCTGCATCAGTACCAGTGCTACGTTATTGACATGCCGATCATGCAGCAACTTCCCTTTAGCCCAGATGAGTCACTCTACCAGAACAACCGATTTCAATACAGGAATATTAATAAATTGTGCAGAAAGCGGAGTCTATGAAAGTCTTTCCCTGAAAGAGAACATCCTTATAAAGGTTACTAATTGAATTCGCATTTTGTAAGCAGTACGAAAAAAAAAAAAAAAGAGGGAGCAAGGCATGTTTTTCTAAAATGTATAGAAAGGAATGGAATAATTTATTGATTCTGAAAGAGGGAAGAATAATAAGGACATGGCTGTATTCAGTGGAGGAAAGAATGAATGTCTTTGTGTATTTGAGGCTGCTGTGTAATGCAAATAAAACAGATGTTGCTATTGATGACACAAAAAATAAGTTGATATCCAATCCTATTTAGCCACCTAAACAAATATAACAATGGCTCATGCAATACCTTTGCATGAAACGGTTTACGATTTTTCATCCACTTTTCTACTGTCATAAATACACTGCTTCAGTGCAAACTTGGGTACCCAGAATTGAAAAGGCGATCATATGATAATAAGTGATAACAATGCTTTTATATTTTTTATTTTATCCTTGAAACGCACAGAATAGCTGCCTTACAAGACCTTGGGCAAAGAATTTTATAGAAGAACAGACGCTAAAGAAACCAGATTCCATGGTTTCTTTGAATATGAAGCTTATAACAACAGCCATATTTTTATTTGCTCTAGTGCAAATACAGAATGTATAACACATATCCTTTTGTGATTTATAGATGGTGAATGATGGTTATTGAAGTGAAATGAATTTCCTCTACAATTGTATATATTCAATACCCATCTTAGCTGCAATTTTTGTACACATTCATGTATCTTTAGTTGACGCCATTGATAAATTATAGAGGCTTAGCTTTTTTCACCCAGATTCCATTACAAATATTGAAAGAAGGAAGATTGCCGGTATCACAGTCAAGTCATGAGTCATTACTTCAAGTCATGAGTAAGGCCGTCATGGCAGAAACGCGTTGACCGTTTGTGT